TCTTGCCAACCAACTATACCATTCAACAAATACCTTCCTTACACATGACACCTTTTTGAACAAATTGAAAGGAAAACAATAAAGCTACTCTCTCTCTCTCTCTCTCTCTCTCTCTCGTGGCTTCCCTTATCTTCTCTCATTTTCCTTTTTTTTAAACTATATTTAATAAACAAAACAATCACTAACCTACTGCCTACCAGAAATCTAGCACGTCACCCATGAAATTTTTAAATTCATTACACACTCAATTAAAATAATAATACTAATAATAATATTTAATTCTATATCTTTCGACCTCGATAACTTAGACTTCCGTAATCCAAATTAACTTTTTCTCGAGCCTAACATGCATGATTAATTAGGATCTATCTAACGAGCCCAATATTCATATACTTATTATCGCTCCATCACTATCTACATTTTAACCCAAATAGAATTAAAATTTACTTTATCTACACTTTAGTCCCTAAACTTTCAAAATATTAAACTATTCTACGAAATGTCGGGATATTACAGGAGTAAAATTGAACAGAAAAGAGAGAAAGAGCTAAGGAACATGTAGATCAATTAATCAAAATTTCGAGGTGAGAGATCCACCAACCTCTATATTTAATAAACATTCATTCCAGTGGACTTCTTTAGTAATTAAACCAGAAGTAATTATTGTACAGCCCTTACTAAATTGTTTTCTGAACATTTCCCCAGCTTTAAATTCGAATTTGAAGAGATCTCTGAAATTCTTGTAGCCGGAGAAGAATGAAATTGCTGTCCCATAACATATTTGCAAGAGTCCTCTCTTCAATGCACTGAAGCAGAGATTGATTGTTGACAGTGCAAACCATTTGTTAGATGCTGACTGTTTCTTCTCCGCTTTGTGACGAGCACAAGACCTTCTCTATCTCTATGCGTACTCCGATCTTTTTGTGTTTTGTTGTTGTTCTACTCTGTTACTGATTCTGTTTTTCATCTTTCCCATAACAAATCTCTATAAATGCACTTTTGTTTACAATTGCTTCAGCAGAATTACTTTGAAATTCAGGCTTTTTTCAGTGACTGGAGACACACTTGGAAGATCTGAAGAATTCTGCACTGATTTCATTATGAAACTAAGCAGTATCATGTTTCTTGTTAATTAATCTATAGATTTACAATTTTGCATGACTAACTGGAATAAGTAGTTTTTTTTCTTTTAATTTACGTGAAACGTGATTATTAATATTAATTGAAAAAAATTTAGGGAGAAAGATTTAAGAATCAGTGGGCATTCACTAGTAGACTTCGTGTTTTTAACAAGAAAATATGGAATAATTGTATGAATGGGGAATGATAAGTGGTTGACTTCGACTTGGACAAACATTTACACTCTGGCAAATGGCATATATAGCAAGTTGGAAGCTGGTAGGGTAGACTCCATATGCCTTTCGGGCTATAGTATTCCAATTGCCTCTCTACTATTTGTGCGTAGATTTTATTTCCATTAATAAGTAATATAATGATAAAAGGAATGTTGAATTTACAAGGATACATTATATATGTATTTTACATTATATATATCAATTAAAGTTAAGCAATTAAAACATACAAATCTTGGAATTTATCCACTATTTGTGCTCGATTTTTCCTGAAACTCATTTTAATCATGTATTCTCTCAATAAAATATTTTTACACATAAATTTAATTTTTTTCCTACTTTTTAGCCATACATTCTTCAAATAATCACTCTTTCCTACTCCAAAATGATGGGGCTCAAACAATCAAATCGTGAAAGGTACTAGCACTTGTGTACGTCCTTATTAACCTGCTTTATCCTTAATGAATAGTTTGCAATCATTTTTTTTTTATTTAAGTTTAAAAAGCTGTATTCCTTATATGTAAATTTCTATTAAGATAAATTGATATTTTTTTACCTACAATCTAACTATATATCTGAAGGATGCGAATTGATAAAAATACAATAAAAATCTAGAAATATCCCTATCTCCTATAGAATCTAGTATTATTGATTATCATATCCTAATCTATATTGAACATCTCAGAAATAATGTAAATCACATATGCATTTGAATTAGTTAAATGTATTCAAATTACAAATCTTACAAGAGTCATTCATATCATCATAGGCAAAAACTATTCTTAATTGTTGATGCCAAACATAGTAGCTTGGGCTGTATATCATCATTTAATAAAAAATTGCTTGGTGGCATGGTAACAAATTAGTTCACTAAAGAAAGAGACTTCACAAGTTCATTAAATTAAAAAAGAGAAAGGCTCAATTGTCTTCTAAAGAGTTATCTTGCTCACAAACATATATGGCAGGATTAAATATATGATAGAGTTAATCAACACGAAGAATTTACAGTCCCGCGAGTTTTTGCTAGATCTGATGAGGAAACATCTAGAATCTAATCAAATCTATAATTTGCTTGGTGAGAAATCGAAGATCTATTTGTGCAAAGGCATATTTAAGTATTCTGGTTACATTACTTTGGTTTTTCTACAATACTCTAATAAAAAAAATTCTCTCTTGCCTAAAATCTTATATATGTTCCTATGGGTTTCTATTTGACGATAAACTACCTCAATTTACCTTTTTCTAAGGTTTCCCATGAGAACCCTAAAATCCAAAAATAATAATAATAATAATAATAACAACAACAACAAATTAATGGGCCAAGGTCTTATCATGTAGGAACAAATCAAAATTTGTCATATTTTTGAAAATTTCAAAAGTATGTATGAAGTTCCTATAGATCTATTAAGTAGAACTTGTCTAGTTAAAAATTGAAACTATGAAAAATACTCAATAGTTTAGCTTTTACATTTCGAAAATTTGAAAATTATATAATTGACTAATTATAAAAATTGTTAAGTAAATATATTATTTATTAATTTTAGATATTTGGTATATATTTTAAAATTTTTTTAAAATGATTAAGTATTTAGAATAAAAAAAAATAAGTAAAGTTTTTTTAAGCGTGAATATTGGCCTTCACGCATACGTTTCATACTTTTTAGAACGCTACTTTAGAAAGTCAAACCTCTTTTTAATTTGTCGAACGAACTCTTTATAAGGAAAATTTAAAATAAAGAGTAGATATGACTCTTGATCGATTAAGAAGTGTATACTTTTGTCATATGTTCCGTGGAATGTTTTTCTTGCCAAAATTGTATGTCTATTTTCAATATACTCAAGTTCAATCCATTTGTAATTCTTAGAGATTCTAACCAAGGAACACGCAGATCCCAAAACGACAATATAATGATAATGGGAATTGATTATTTAGAATGGGAAAGGACGCTAGTTAGTTTCACAAGCTTTTGTCTACCAGTCAACTAAGTAGAGCCTAGGTCCCCATGTGTAACTGTAAATTTGTCCTCCTTTCATAATGAACCTCACATTGTGACTGAGACAAGGTAGATGCCTCCGAGAAGAGGAGTTGATTGAATCAAAGTTTCCTTAGGTAACTATTGACCTGCAATTTTCACTAAACTTCCATGCTTGATGAAGAAGAACAGTTGAATACTTAATCTCTTCTTCTCAAGGGTCTTTCCAATTCAACATTTGCACCAACTTATCCACTATTGAGTAGTTTATTCCAATCTTCTAGAAAGTATCATCAGAAAACAACTTTCTCTTGGCAAATTTTCTTAAGCATATGGATCCAATAAGTTACTCATCATGGGAATTAGAATGTAGCAGTTCCATTGCACACGAGACCATGTCCATTTTCATACCATAATAAATGCTTCCATCGACACATTTTTGAATAGACATTGTAGAATAATATTTTAATCAAATCTTTCTCTAATTGTCCCAAATTGCACTTCTTGTCCACCTCATCCAGTAACCCCAGAATGCTCTCGTTCCTCTAGGCATTCTCTAAAAGAAAGAGCAATGCCTCTACCAGGGCCAACGAATAGAATATAATTAGGGGAGATTTCAGGTTCCTCTTATCCTTATCCCCTTTCTCGACTTCTCTACAATTATGGTGAATAAGCTTAATCACAGAGAGAACCACGCATGTTGTAGTAGATGGAAGTTGTGGCCAATACTAAAGCTTCAAAACATTTATTGAAATGAATACTCATTTTATATATTGAAGAAGAGGGAACTCTGAACTTGTCCATGTTGGAGTTGGCATCTTCTTTTGATACCAGTTTCTCGTGCTTGTTTGGCTTATAGTCTCAACAACAATGATAGACCATGTCACATGATGAATCTAAATATTCAAAAAATCAAAGGAACTTTCTTGCACTATTCTATTGGTTGTGTGATCATAATGTTGAAATTAAGGATATTGCTTTAACGAATGCGCCTAAGAATTTCAAATTAACATCACCATGATTTCAAAAAGCTACTGTAAGTGATATTGCTTAATAAAACTCTAAATGTCATTATCAATGATATTGGTGATAGATTGTTTTATATTTCACTTGATGAATCATGTGACATTTCAGTTCGTTATGTGAAGAATGGGCATGTATTAGAACATTTTATTTGTGTCACACATGTTTGGAGTACCACAGTTGTCAAGACTAGAATTGATCAATTATTCTCCAGACATAGCTTAAATGTATCTAATTTGAGATGCCAAGGATATAATAGAGCTAATAATATACGATGAGAGAATGAGGATGTCACAATTTCATCCATGGACCCCCTTTAATTAGCTAATCAAGATTCTTTACCTATTGTTATGTTCGGTCGAAGTCTTCCTACGTATTCAATTTACTTCTCTCGAGTTCAAATTGATTCTATTTAACTAAGTCAATGTGAATTCGAATACACTTAGCGTGTCGAACCAACCCAAGTCAACCGAGTCTGGTCTATTTCTTATGATCTTATCCTTTATTATATATATATATATAATAATGGCCACTTGAGTGGAAAGGTGATGGAGGAACGATATATACAATGGCCACTTGAGTGGAAAGGTGATGGAGGAATGATATATATATATAATAAAGGATAAGATCATAAGAAATAGACCAGACTCGGTTGACTTGGGTTGGTCCGACACGCTTGAAACTTTGGGCTTTGATAGTTCGACATGACCGGTGACCCTTCGTACAACTCTAGAGTGGGGGTGGGGGTGTCGACGAGGCTAGAAGACTTGGCCAACGACTTCCAAGTTCAGATATTATTAATGCAATTCTAAAAAGTTATCATCAAGAAAACTAATGGGGTCGCTGCCAATGAACTGCTTATTGTTGGCTTTTACAATTTTATTACAAATCAATGGATTCCATGGTTGTATTGAGGAGGAGAGAAGGGGTCTCCTGGAAATTAAGACATTTTTTCAATTGATGAATGGTGAAGCATACACTTCGCTTCTTTCATGGATTCATGGAAAAGAGAGCAACTGCTGCAACTGGGAGAGAGTCATCTGTGATCCAACTACAGGCAGAGTAGTCGAGCTCGATCTTACGACTTTACGTATTTTAAAATCCAATGATCCCCAAGATCTTAATGTCTCCTTATTTTTCCCTTTCAAAGAAATAAGAATTCTTGATTTAACTGGAAATTACTTGTGGACTTCTGCTAATACTACAGGTAATTTATCAGCCTAGTATCTGAATATAAACTTATTTATAGTTAGAGTTTAAGATTTTATTATGTGATAAACTCCATCTTATATAGAGTTAGTTTACTTATATCGAATTTGTGGAGCTTGGAAATATTGAATTTAAGTTATAACAGTTATGAGAATAATCTCTCGTTGCAAGGTGAATAATTTTAGACTATTAGCATTCAATTCGTACACAACATTCGACACTACAATACAAGTTTCTTCTTTAATCCCTATCCAATGCGGTCTAATTCTCCAATTATGGTATTTCTCAACAGTTGGAATAAATCATGAACAAGTAATAAAGCGAAGGTACATAGTTATTTCAATTTCACGATAATTCTGTTTCATTTATAGTCAGGCACTGCTTGAGTAGGTAAAGTTTGGAAACTGGTCACATGGAAGATTAGATCATGAACACGAGTTTTAACCTTGTATCTTGATTCATTCGATGATGTCGTGGAATTTCTACAGATACAACAAGTTTATCCCAGTTGAGAAAGTTGGAGCACCTAGATTTAGGCTACAACAGATTCGGCAAGCCCTTTCTGAAATCATTGAGAAATCTAATGGCACTTAAATTCTTATCATTACAACAAAACGGGATGGAAGGTCCAATTTCAAGTAATGGTAGGCTGTCCTTATTCAAATTGATTTCAAAAACTTCAAAACTAGATGAGAAGTTAGCAGAAATAAGAAAATTATAATGACATTCAAGTTACTGATCTTTCTGCAGAACTCGATAGCCTGAATAAGGATCTGGAAGTCCTAATTTTAAGAGGAAATCGATTGACTGGTCATCTACCTATTCAAGGTTTAGACAAAATCTCCCTTGAAGAATTGAGAAGAGTAAATCGAATTTCTTTTCCAAATATAAGGTAATGTCTTGTCTATTAACTATATATCTTTTTTTCTTTTTTTTTTCTTTTTTTTTTTTTGGGTTCAGATCTTATATCTTTCAAGAACTTAAAGGTCCTAGATTTGAGCGACAACAACTTCATGGGGAGCATACCTCAAATTATTGGGCTCATGTCCTCCCTTTCGGCACTATCATTGGCATATAACAATCTTACCAGTTTCTTGCCCAGTAAAGGTACAAAATTAAATATATTGAGCCTATTCTACACACATTTACTTTAGGATAATTGCATCCAGAATCGAACCTTATACACTTTCTCAAACTCTACACAAATCTTTCATTTGTGGCACCCAAAGTGCCAAACTTGTCATTTTATTGCAGCAGAAGGACGAATGGATGGATTCCGTCCATCTGACCATTAGTTGACCAGAAAAGTTGATTTTCACCATGCTTTGACTAATTTTAAAAGGGTAAAATTTTAAATTCACATTATTTCATATTAAACAATTTACTTTTTCTTAATCCGTGTGAAAATGAAAGTAGGTCTATCTTTATAGAATGGAGAGGGTAGAGGTTTTTTTTTTTTATTATTTTATTATTTTTTATTAAAGATACACAATAGCATTAAATATTTTAATACATGTAAAATCTTGATAATAGTTGATAAATACATTTTTATTATTAGGAATAGATAATATTTTACTACATGTAAAATCGTGTGTAATAAAATCAAACTCCACTATATATATAATAACTTGATTTCCATTCATATCGATCTATGTTTTTTATCAAGAAAATTAAATTTCTATTCAAAAGGAGAATCTAAAATATGGGATATTATCGAAAAACATTTGATGCTCTCAAAAGTATTTGGTTGCTTGACATTGCTAATCTATCATTATATAAGTCAGAGTTCGAGAATATTATTTTTAATGATAAATGAAGGAGTTGATGTTTGTGATATTGAAGAAAATGAAATTGGTACAATCAATGATTAAAATAAAATGTTTTGTATTTTATTTTATTATTATGGTTTTTGGACGTACCCATATCATATTGTATTCGAATTACGTATTCGAATCCATGTTTCTTCATATCAAACATCTTTCTAAGTTGAGACGACACTCATTTCCCCACTTTTTGTTAAGGGATCAGGGATTAGTGATCTATGAATGCTTTTGCTAAACTTTTGAGGACTCTTATTTCATAATTTATAAATTGCAGGTTTTTGTGAACTTAAAAACCTTCAAGAATTAGACCTCAGACGAAACACCTTTGAAGGACAGTTCCCTCATTGTTTCACCAGCTTGAGCTCTATAAGAGTTTTAGATCTTTCTATGAATCGTTTCAAAGGAGACATTTCTGTCATAATATCCAACCTCACATCTCTGCAATACATCAGCCTAAACGATAACGAATTCGAGGGTAAATTATCACTTAGTTTATTGGCCAACCATTCTAAGCTGGAGATCGTTGAACTGACGAATATGGGAAAAATGGATGTTGAAACCGAAAGTTCAAATTGGACCCCAAATTTTCAGTTGAAAGTTCTTCTATTGTCCAATTGTAACCTTAATAAACTCAGTGGCAATATCCCCACTTTTCTTTCACACCAGTACAGGCTAAAACTAATTGATCTCTCCCACAACAATCTGCGAGGAAATATTCCTAATTGGTTGCTTCAGGAAAATGCCGGATTAGAAGTTTTGAACTTAAGAAACAACTCTCTTGTTGGTCAATTATCACTGCCTCCTCATCAGAACAATAGCATTTATTGGTACGATCTGTCAAACAATCGGTTCACTGGACAGGTAGGGAGAGACATGGGAAGAAAGCTTCTAAGCATCGAATATCTTAACCTATCTAAAAACTATTTCGATGGTACCATTCCATCCTCATTCGGCAACATATCTAACTTGAGACAATTGGACTTGTCTTTCAACAACTTCTATGGAGAAATACCAAAAGAACTGACTGCAGGATGCATCAATTTATTTCTTCTCAAATTATCCAGCAATAAGTTCGAAGGGGAAATATTTGCTACTAGCTTCAACTTGACAAGTATAGGGATTTTAAACCTAGAAGACAACCACTTCTCTGGAACTGTGTCTAGTGTTATCGCTTGGAGCTCTAACATGCAAATGTTGGACATTAGCAACAACAATATCTCAGGTGAAGTCAGTTGGATATCTAATATGACAGGCTCGATGACTGTCCAGGTTGTCCTCATGTACAATAACTTCTTCAGAGGTCGATTACCTTGTCAACTAGGGCCATACAATATTTTAGACATCTCACATAACTCTCTTTCGGGACCTTTACCATCTTGCTCGACCATCATGGGTCATACACTTTTACAGGGAAACAAGTTCACCGGACCACTACCAGATGCTTTTCTAAATTCATCATATATAGTAACATTGGATATGAGTGATAACCTTCTGTCTGGTACGATCCCCAACTCATTCCATGCGCTCTCCAACTTGAGGATTCTTCTGTTGGGGTCGAATAAGTTGAATGGCTCCATTCCCAACCACATATGTAATTTGAACAAGGTCTCCCTGATGGACCTGTCCCACAATCAATTCTCAGGGATTATTCCTCATTGCATCAATAACATCTCTTTCGGGAAATTTGGTATGCACAATCGAGTATACCAGTTAAGCTACTACGTTGATTGGAAATATCGTCCAATCTGTACATATGGGAACTTCTTGGTGAGGACTTATGACCAAGTTAATGCATACAAAGAATACACTGAATACAATAAATTAGTTGTTGTCGAATTTGTTACAAAAGGAAGGCTCGGCTCCTACAAGGGAAACATCCTCGACTACATGTCGGGATTGGATTTGTCATGCAACAATCTAACAGGAAAAATCCCACGTGAAATTGGAAATTTGGGTTCACTTCATGCAGCAAACTTGTCTCATAACCGTCTTAAGGGTTCCATTCCCAAAATTTTCTCTCGTCTTTTGCAAATAGAGAGTTTAGACCTTTCCTACAACGGATTGAGTGGAGAGATTCCATCGGAATTGTTGAATCTCCACTTTCTGGAAGCGTTCAGTGTGGCTTATAACAACTTATCTGGTAAAACTCCAGAAATGAAAGCACAATTTGGAACTTTTGACAGGAGCAGTTATGAGGGAAATATGTATCTTTGTGGACATCCATTGGAAAATAAATGCTCTTCCATTGGGGAGTCACCAAAATCATCATCTAGCTCAGAAAAAAAGGACAGGAAATGGTACAAAATAGATATCGCAGATTTTTATCCCACTTTTATTGTTTCCTACATCGGGTTCTTTCTAGCAGCAATTGCTGTTTTTCATATGAATTTCTTTTAGCAAAAGTGTTCAATTCGTGGTGTTGTGATACTCTAAGTGCTAGATGATTATGTACCTCTTATATGTAATCTTGGGACTCAAGTGAAAGGTCTGTAGCTGGTAATTAAAATTCTCAAAAAAAACATCAGCTTGTAATCCTCTTTGTTTCATTTTTATCCCCTTTCAATTCCTCCCCTTTTGATATTTACCATTTATAAGATATAGACAATCTTTTTGGTTCCTTGCGCAATCAAGATACAAGATTAACAACACTGCCTACTCATTAAAGAAGGAGATCGTTGAACTAATGAAAACTGGATAATTGGATGCTGAAATAGAAATTTTAAAATGGACCTCAAATTTTAGTTGAAAGTATTCATATTGTTAATTAATTGATATGTCCAAAACAACCTACGAGGATGTTTTCCTAATTTGTTGCTTTCGGAAAATGCAGAATTAGAAGTTTCGAACATAAGAAACACTCTGTTTTGTTATTAAAAGAACAAAAATGGAATTATGCTAAATGATTTATTATATGATCACTCAAATATATAGGACTGCAATCATATAAATAGATGGAAAAGCGACCCCCCCCCCCTAAAAACCAACTCCACTCATCATCTTGGTTAGATTTCCCACATAAGGAGTTACTTGAGATAAAAGAGAAGAAGATGGAGAGGTATTGATGTTGGTTGCCACTTTTGTTGTCACAATTGTCGAGTCCTTAAGTATCAAGTATAAGGCTAAGCTATGTTTATTTTGTTGTCAAGCCCTCTGTATTTTGTAATGATTATAGAGAGCAGTCCTTTACATTTTTCTGATGTATAGCCTGCACCAGCATGTCTTTATGTAATGATGTAATGTGTGTCCTTAAGTAAGGATGTAGCAGGAAGTTGGTAGAAAGATGTGCTAGAACATCTTTTTTATATCTCTTGTAAATCAGTTTCTTACTAATGGTTGAATAAACCTATTCACTTCAGAAAATCATCATCCTTCTCCTCTTCATTTCGAATTCTGATTAACAAGAGGCAACAATAATAGCAACCTAGGCAGATTTCATCTTCTTTTCAACGTGCTTTTTCTTCAAACTTTGGGTAATCTTTATAGCAAACACTAACTGTACGTAGTGTTGTGGCAGTGGGTGCAAAGTCGATAGAAGGGGCTGAAGTACTGTCGTGGCAGCTAGGCTTAAGTTACTATCTATAACCATAGTGACTTGCCTCTGTAATTCAGGACAGACTAATGTTTATGTTTCTTCCAGACTTGAGAGAGGATTAAATGTTAACTTAGTGCTTCAGACTGGGGGATCTATAGCTACCCGTGCAAATTAATTTCTACATAGACAAGGAAACTACTTAAAGAAATGTATCATTGAAATCATTGTCTGAAGATCCCAGCAGTCAAGTTCTCTCATGCAGGTAACAAAGTAGATTCTCTCGTTTTCGCCATCTTGGCTTGCAACCTCTGCATGAACTTTGGATTAACTTTAAGTCTCTCTTTGATGTTTAAAGTTCCAGCTTCCTCCACCATTTTCCTAGCTTTACCTACCTCCTCAATCAAAGAAAATAGAGTCCAGAGTAAAGAATTGAACTGATATTTTTGTATCTTGAATTTTTAAACTTTTCTTTACATCCAACATATATATACAGAGATACTATACAAGCAATTACATACAAAGAATATTCTAGACTTCCAAAACAAATAATTCCAGGTGGCTAACGGTTTCACATGCATTTCCTGAAAATCAGGATATGCACCAGCACATACACCAGCTTACACAATGGATACAAGATGCTTTTTGTTGGTTGGTTGTGCTGTCATGTTGGCTGAAATATTCTAACACCCCCCCTCAAGGTGGAGTGTGTCTCTACCACTCCAAGCTTGTCTCTAAAAAATAAGAACCTTGAATGAGAAAGGGGTTTTGTCAATAAGTCTGCTGTTTGATCTGAAGATGGCACATAATGTATTTCCAATTCTCCACCTATGACTTTGTCTCTTACAAAATGAACATCGAGCTCAATATGTTTAGTGCGTGCATGGTAAACCGGATTTGAAGCTAGTGCATTTGCACTCAAATTGTCACACCAGATATTTGGAACTGATCTTTGTGGCATTCCCAACTCCTTCATTAAAGATTGAATCCATGAAATTTCTGATGCACAATGAGCCAATGCCCTATACTCGGCTTCTGTGCTTGACCTGGCAACAACGTGTTGTTTCTTAGAGCACCAAGATACCAAATTATCTCCCAAGTATACACAGTAGCCTGCCGTAGATCTTCTATCATCTGGACATGATGCCCAGTCAGAATCTGCAAACGCATTTATGTCAAGACTATCACTCTTCCGAATAGCAAGACCATGATTTGGTGTGCCCTTCAAATATCTAAACAACCTTTTTAATACCTTCCAGTGAGTATCCGTGGGTGCTTGAAGAAATTGGCTCATCTTATTTACAGAATAAGTGATATCTGGTCTTGTATGAGCCAGATATTGAAGGCCACCAACAGCACTTCTGAACAAGGTTGGATCCTTCATAGCTTGTCCCTCAGTCTTAGAGATTAGCTTGCCCACTGCCATAGGTGTCAAGCTTGGTTTTAAGCTTTCATAGCCAAATCTCTTGAGTAAGTCTACAACATACTTTGTTTGTGTCAAGTATAACCCGGTTGCATCTCTATGCACCTCCATACCTAGGAATTGACTGAGGCTTCCCATATCCTTAAGCGCAAAACAAGTGTTCAAATTATCAATAAACTCTTGCAGTTTTTTATTGTTGTTCCCTGTTATTACTATGTCATCTACGTAAACCAGCACAAACAGTATATCTCTTCCATTTGCCGAGAAGAACAGTGAATTATCTGCTCTAGATTGCTTGAAATTCCATTTCAATAAGGTATTCTTCAGTTCCTCATGCCAGGCTCTTGGGGCCTGCCTCAATCCATACAAGGCTTTATCCAACTTGCACACAAAGCTGGGATTTTTCTCATCTACGAATCCTTGTGGCTGATCCATATATACTTCCTCACTCAACTTGCCATTCAAGAAAGCATTGTTCACGTCAACTTGTCTGATGTCCCAATCTTTAGACACAGCAAGTGTTAAAATGATTTTCAAAGTTGATGCCTTGATGACGGGGCTGAATGTTTCTCCAAAATCTACTCCAGGTGTTTGAAGAAATCCTTTGGCAACTAATCTTGCCTTGTGCCTTTGTATTCTGCCATCTGAGTCATACTTTAACTTAAATACCCATTTGTTGCCAATTATTTTCATCCCAGGCTTAGGAGGTACCAAGGTCCATGTTTTATTCCTAATCAAAGCAATGTATTCTTCTTGCATAGCCTTCTTCCAGCCATTACTCAGTAGTGCTTCATTAGCAGTTAGTGGCTCGGTTTCTACTGATTTGTCCTGTACATGATTTGCGTAAACTTTTGGTTTGAAGATTCCAGCTTTGCTTCTGGTGATCATCTGATGTCCAGTATTCTGTGTTGCATTTTGGACCTGAAGGTTTACATCATCTCCTGTATTTTCAGTATCACATCTCCTTTGTTGGACTTCGACCACCTCATTACCAACTAGTTCTTGACTTCTCTGAGCATCATTGTTTTCTATATCCACTTCATCTTCAACTTCAGTTTCTATTTCATTGTTAGAGAAGTCTGCAGCAAGTGATGCACCAGGATGGATTGTATCAGTTACATTTTGAGGAATTGTTTTGTGACTGGACTCAACAACAAAGGGAAGAAGACTCATGACAGTTTCAGAAGTTGGTGACTGGACTGATTTGTTAATAAAACCAGATTTGAATGGAAATTCCAGTTCATTGAACACAACATGTCTGGATATGTAGATTCTACCACTTGAGCTTAGGCACTTATAACCTTTGTGTGAATCACCATAGCCAAGAAAGACACACCTTTGAGAATGGAAGTTGAATTTGTGCTTTTGGTAAGGTCTAAGGCAGGGGTAGCAGGTGCAACCAAAGGTTTTTAGCATTTTATAATCAAAGTCTTTCCCAAATAGTGCTTGAAATGGTGATTTATGCTGAAGTATAGGAGTAGGTAGCCTATTTATCAAGTAGGTTGCTGTTTTGAATGATTCCCACCAGTAATATAGAGGCATTTGAGCTTGAGCTAGAAGTGTTAGTCCAGTCTCAGTAACATGTCTATGTTTCCTTTCTGCCCGGCCATTTTGTGCAGAGGTATATGGGCATGAGTGTCTAAGTTCAATACCTGATTCTAATGCAATTTTGTCAAAGTTTCTAAACTCTCCTCCCCAGTCTGACTGAAGTGTTTTAATCTTTCTTTCCAATTTGTTTTCAACTAATTTTTTGAACTGAATAAAGATATTTAGAGCCTCGGATTTGTGTTTCATAGGGTATATCCAGGTGAATCTGCTGTGGTCATCAACAAAGATGATATAGTACCTAAAACCTGAGGTAGAATTCAACGGTGCAGGTCCCCAGACATCTGTGTGTACAAGGTCTAGTGGACTTGATGCATATGACGAGGATGTATTAAATGGTAATGCATGAGATTTGCCAAGTTTACATGATTCACAGAAAGTTGGACTTCCATTAGCTTTGGTAAAGTTATTACAGGACTTTAAAACATGACTCAACACATGGTTCGAAGGATGGCCTAGTCTCCTATGCCAAATATCAAGTTCTGACTCTGGCACTTTGACATCGTTGGTTGACTCATCACAACTGGATTTCACTGTGAAGCAGTTGGGATTATTTTGGTGGTTTGACTCTATAGTATCAAGTTTTGGCTTGAACCTTGGCAACCTTAGCTGATACAGCCCATCCTTAAGCATTCCTTGCAGTAGAATCCTCTTCGTTTGCAGATCCTTAACAATACAACAATCAGGAAAAAATTCCATAAATACATTGTTATCACTTGTAAGTTGAGAAACACTAACTAAATTCTTTTTAATTGAAGGCACATGCAATACTCTGTTTAGTGTAAGAGACTTATCATCAACTGTGGGAACATTTCCTTTTCCAATATGTGCAATGTGTAATGACTTCCCATCACCAACTATCAATTTTTCCTTACCTTCATATTTCTTGACTGTATACAGATTACCTTTGTCGGATGTTACATGATTGCTTGCACCGGAATCTGCAAACCAGGCTGGATCTTCAACAGTTCTTGGTGAAGCCACATATGCAGAAGGAGCTGGGCTGTTGTTCTGATGGTTTTGATTACTTGGTCTGCTGCCCATGTATCTGTCATCCTACCTGTTAAAACACCAGCTGGCTGAGTGGTTGTTGAGTCCACAGATTTGGCAAGGGCCTTTAATTTCATTTTGCCTGCCTACTCTACCTCTACCTCTCGTTCTCCCTCTGAAATTTAAGGATCTACCTCTGTTGGTACCTCTAAAAATTCTGCCACCACCTGAGCTAGCTCTTTGGGCCAGTTGAACACTTGATTGACCAACATTCAGTGATGCAAAGTTGTCCCTGACTTGACTCAAATACTCAAGCCTACTTTCAAATGTCATCAGCACAGAAGACAGCTCATGCCAGGATATATTATCCCTGCTGTTAACTTGTACCACTATAGGTGTGTATTCTTCATCCAACCCTGATAAAACCTGAGTTACAAGATCACTGTGGTCAATAGCTTTCCCAGCTATTTCCAGATTATCAGCCAGTTGTTTGACGGTGGTGAGGTATTGATCCATAGACATAGTGCCTTTCCTCATCCTTTGTAGTTCTCCAGTGAGAAACACGACCCTTGACTTGTTCAGTACACCATAGCTTTCCTCCACTGCAGTCCATAACTTGCTTGAACTGTTGCATCCCATGACTCTCATTGCTATTTCTGGGGTCATGGATGAGTATAACCACCCAATCAACAGTTGATCAGTTGAGATCCACCTATTATACTCAGGATTCTGAGTCATTTCTACAGCTTCTCCTTGACCAGTAGTGGTTTGAGTGGCTAGGAATTCTGGTGGACACTGCTTTGTCCCCAGCAAATATCCCTCTAGGTTATGCCCTTTGATTATTGGCATAATCATATTTTTCCATAGCAAGTAGTTGTTCCTGTCGAGTTTTACTTATGGAGTCTGAGTAAGGTTCATTCCAAATGGTGAACTCTGATTTGCAGCAACTTGGGTGAATGATGCTGTGCTTGAATCAATTGGAGCTGGATGACTTCCTGAACCGGTGTTAGCCATATTGGCTCTGATACCAAGTAAAGAATTGAACTGATATTTTTGTATCTTGAATTTTTAAACTTTTCTTTACATCCAACATATATATACAGAGATACTATACAAGCAATTACATACAAAGAATATTCTAGACTTCCAAAACAAATAATTCCAGGTGGCTAACGGTTTCACATGCATTTCCTGAAAATCAGGATATGCACCAGCACATACACCAGCTTACACAATGGATACAAGATGCTTTTTGTTGGTTGGTTGTGCTGTCATGTTGGCTGAAATATTCTAACAAGAGGCAATCATTTCGGTTCTCCCGCCTGATGTTCAAACCTGGTAGAGAACATGATGTTATAGTAGAGAAAAAAGGACAGCTCGACCATGCAAGAATTGGAGAGTAGCTGAAATTTCGATGTCTTTGTTGTGTTCCTGGAAATTTTACCCTAGATTCAGGAGCAATAAAAAGATAGAATCTAGGATAGAGCCCATATTACTTAGTTCAATTAAAATTTATTATTATCCAAAGTAAGAGGAAGTTCCCCGGACAAGAATCAGATGCTACATAATTTCACAGATATTCAATCATTATCAAGGTCATTCGTTGATGAGAAAAAGATACCTCTCACTAGTTATGGTAAGTTCATCTTTTCCTGGATTGAATTGCCATCCTGCTAATCCTTTTAGCCGGCAGAATTGAAGCTTTGACAAACCAAGCTCTTTGACAGTAACAGCCAATTTTACTTGTCTACATTTCGAATGCCATGCATCACCACCAGGAGCAAAGACCACATGTGTTTTCCATCTAAGAATTGGGCCCTCACCTGGTGGGTCATCAAGGTCGTTTCCCTTATCGGGCACGGCAGTCTCATCAAACTGTTTAGGAGCCTCTGCCTCCATCAGCTCGGCACATTGCAATACCATTTGGTCTTCAAACTCTTTAAACAATGCACAGCCTTCTTCGACTTCAAGGTCATCTTTTTCAATCCTATTTGCTATCTCGTCAAACTTCTTTCCTACTTTATTTTTGATCTTGTCTGAGAATTGTTAATAAAAGTCAACTCAAACTATAAACAGAGTCTATAAAGTATTGGAAAAAATTACTACAATGTTTAAGAATGGAATTATGTACATGTAATGGTCCCATGATATTGTATCAGCATGCTAAATCCACAAAGTCAAACGCATTAAGCTTTATCGTTTCTTTTATATTGTTCTGAACACAAGCATTATCATTTCAAACATATTAATCTAACGTGTATTTTAGATGAAATTGTATGAGTAATGCTCCATGAGTCATGAGCTAAATCAACTGGGTGAGGCCAATCTCTTCAGTCTGATTTGAAGGATATTAAAACTTCAAGATGTCTTCTCCAGACCCCACTCAAAGATAGTCTAGGAAAGCTAGAAAACACTGCTGCTATGACTGAAAGTTATATCAGAAAGGAACATGTTTCTTGTTGGATGCAGCACCTATAGATATTGGAATCACCAGCAGATAACAATTCTGGAAGTCCTTAAGAAGTTAAAAGGCTGATCCACTTGTTAAAAGACTTCTGAAAGAACTTAAATGTTGAAGAAAAGGGAAAAGAAACCAACTTCTGCTAGTCGGAAGGATGAAGAAAATGATGTTGGAATCAACATCCCGAACATGGAAAGGAACATGGAATAACTAAAGAGATGTGAGTCCAACTCTATGCAGAGTTGGTGCAATAGTTACTCAAGATGCTTTCTTACGTTAGAAAAGGAACAGGAACTGGCCTCATACAAAGGTCTTATTTATATATTAAGGCATTAATTATTTAACTTGTTATCATGTACTTTTAAGGTCAAAAGAATGCATTTTTACTCGCTTTCAACCCAAACCCATTTACCAGCTCCATAGGTTGGGATGTGAGCATGGAGAGATAGCAGGAGTCCAAAAAATAATAATAATAATAATAATAATAATAATAATAATAAGTAAAAAATAAAAAATGATAACGCTGCAGAAATTCCAGAAAATTCTGGCGGAGCAACGCAATGCAGCAATTTAGGCAAGGCAAATTTCCGGGAAGCTCAATTTCGGGATGAAGAGGAGGCATAGCAGCTGTTTCCATTTTACATGGGAAACTGAAATATTAAGGAAAGCTGCAATTTGGGCTGAAGTTATAATTGCAAGTAACCGTTTGAATTAAATAAGGATTCCTATGATGGAAATAACTTGAATCCCATAGGAATTATACACTTGCCTTCATTAATTTATTTCTTTTTCAATTGTAAGCCACTAGGCTATTTTAGTTGTGTGATTTATCTATAAAGTATCAAAGTATTTCCATCTCAACTTTGTGTTAATTTAAGGAGGTCCAAGGCACCTTGAATTGCCTTACTAAGGAGGATAGGATCCCTCGAAGAATCCTAGATAGTTCTTATTATTTTCAAGATTGGGAAGTTGCGAAGACCGATCCCGGGACTTTTCTTCTAAACAAATATGTTACTAGGTCTGTTTAGACTAGCATTGGTAAGTCCATGATTACTCTGCAACCGAGTCAAGCTCTTCATCAAAAGCTTTATATCCGAACAGCATATTGTGCAATCTACTTAATCTGGTTTCGAAAAATATAACCACTAAAAGCTAGTAGAGCTTGATACTTTTAATTGACTGAATAATCATACATGAAACAGGAATCAAATTACACTATTAACTGGTCCAATTTTCTCCAGCGTTATTAATGCGCGTATTCCTCCAAAATTCGTAATAAACAATCTTATTAATGCAAAAATTTGTCTTTTCTTCTTGAAAAAATAAGCTTCAAAAGCTACCCAATACAACAGAATACAGAGCAGTTTCTTAGATCTCAAATGTGAACTAGACGAGCCAAAAAATAATTACATTATTTAGATACCTCAAAAACTAAAATAATTTTCAATTTTGTACCTTTATTGGTTACATCTTGGACCTCGGTGGCGACTTGTTTCTTCTTCTCTTCAGGCTCGGTAATTCAACAATCTAGTGCAACATCAGTGTGGCTTATAACAACTTGTCAGGTAAAACTCCAGAAATGAAAGCATAATTTGAGACTTTTGACAAGAACAGTTATGAGGGAAATCTGTATCTTTGTGGACTTCCACTGGAAAATAAATGCTCTTCAACTGAGGAGACGCTAAAATCATCATCCAGTTCAGAGAGAGGACAGTAAATGGTACAAAATAGATATAGCAAATTTTTATCCTACTTTTATTGTTTCCTACATCATGTTCTTTCTAGCAATAATTGCTGTTTTTTATATGAATCTCTCTTAGCAAAGGTGTTCAATTTGTGGAGTTGTGATACTATAAATGCTAGATGATTCTGTACCTCTTATATGTAAGTTTAGAATACAAGTGAAATGTCTGTAGCTGGTAATATATAGTTACAAGTCTCAAAATAAACATCTACTTGTATTTCTCTTTGTTTCATTTTTCCCTCTTTCAATTCCTCCCCTTTTGACATTCACCATGTATATGATGTGTAGACAGTCTTTTTGGTTCCTTGCCCACTCAAGATACAAGATTAAATCTAGTATTATCAGGAAATTTTTGGGCTAGATCTTATATCTTTCAAGAACTTAAAGGTCCTAAATTTGAGCGACAACAACTTCATGGGGAGCGTACCTCAAATTATTGGGCTCACGTCCTCCCTTTCGGCACTATCATTGGCATATAACAATCTTACAGGTGTCTTGCCCAATAAAGGTACAAGATTAAATATATTGAGTCTGTTCTACACATATTTACTTCAGGATAATTGCATCCACAATTGAACCTCACACAATTTCGCAAACTTCACCCAAAATTTTCATTTGTGGCACCCAAAATGACAAACTTGTCATTTTATTACAGCAGCAGGATGGATTCCATCCATTTGGCCATTAGTTGACTAGAAAAGTTGATTTTCACCATGCTTTGACCAATTTTAAAAGGGTAAAATATTAAATTTACATTATCCCATATTAAATAATTTACTTTTTTCTTAATCTATGTGAAAATGAAAGTAGGTTTATCTTTATAGAATGGAGAGAGTAGAGTTTTTATTTTTAATTGTTTTTATTTTATTAAAGATACACAATAGCATTAAATATTTTAATACATGTAAAATCATGATAATAGTTGATAAGTACATTTTTATTATTAGGAATAGATAATAGTTTAATACATGTGAAATCGTGTGTAATAAAATCAAACTCCACTATATGTATAACAACTTGATTTCCATTCATATCAATCTATGTTTCTTATCAATAAAATTAAATTTCTATTCAAAAGGAGAATCTAAAATATGGGATATTATCGAAAACATTTGATGCTCTTGAAAGTATTTGGCTGCTTGATGTTGCTACTCTATCACTATACAAGTCAGAGTTGAAGAATATTATTATTAATGATAAATGAAGGATCTAATGTTTCTGATGTTGAAGAAAATGAAATTGGTACAATTAATTATTAGAATAAAATGTTTTAGTATTTTATTTTATTATCATGGTTTTTGGACGTACCCATATTGTATTGTATTCGAATTCATGCTTCTTAAATATCAAGCATTTTTCTAATTTGAGATGACACTCAGTTCCTCACTTTTTGTTAAGGGATCAGCGATTTGTGATCTATGCATGCTTTTGCTAAACTTTTGAGGACTCTTATTTCGTACTCCATAATTTGCAGGTTTTTGTGAACTTAAAAACCTTCAAGAATTAGACCTCAGTCTAAACAGCTTTGAAGGATAGCTCCCTCATTTTTTCACCAACTTAAGCTCGACAGGAGTTTTAGATCTTTCTATAAATCAATTCAAAGGAGACATTTCCTTCATAATATCCAACGTCATATCCCTGCAATACATGAACCTAGGGGATAATGCATTCGAGGGTAAATTATCACTTAGTTTATTGGCCAATTTCTGAGCTGGAGATTTTGGAACTGTGGAATGTGGGGGAAATGGATGTTGAAATCGAAAATTCAAATTGGACCCCAAATTTTCAGTTGAAAGTTCTTCAATTGTCCAATTGTAACCTTAATAAACTCAGTTCTTTCACACCAATACAGGCTAAAAAGTGATTGATCTCTCCCACAACAACCTGCAAGGATATTTTCCAAATTGGTTGCTTCAAAAAAATGCAGGATTAGAAATTTTGAACTTAAGAAACAACTCTCTTATTGGCCAGTTATCACTACCTCCTCATCAGAATAATAGCAACTTGACCGGACAGGGATGGGAAGAAAGTTTCAAAGCATTCAGTATCTTAACCTATCTGGAAACTATTTTGATGCCACCATTGCATCCTCATTCTGCAACATTTCGAACTTGAATCAATTGGACTTGTTTTTCAACAACTTCTATGGAGAAATACCAAAAGAACTTATTGCATGATGCATCAATTTATCTGCTCTCAAATTATCCAGCAACAAGTTCAAAGGGGAAATATTTTCTTCTAGATTCAATTTGACAGGATTAGAGGTTTTAAGCCTAGAGGACTACCACTTCTCTAGAACTATGTTAAATGTTATCGTTAGGAGCTCTTCCATGAATACGTTGGACATTAGCAACAACCATATCTTAGGTGAAGTCAGTTGGATATCTAATATGACAAGCTTGATGACTGTCCTCATGTACAATAACTTCCTGAGAGGCCTGTTACCGTGTCAACTAGGGGTATTCGGGCTTTTAGACATCTCACATAACTCTCTTTCGAGACCTTTACCATCTTGCTCGAACACACTGAGTCATATAGTTTTACAGGGCAATAAGTTGACTGGCCAATACCAGATGCTTTTATAAATTCATCAGATCTACTAACATTGGATATGAGGGATAATCTTCTGTTCGGTACGATCCCCAACTCATTCCATGCACTCTCCAACGTAAGGGTTCTTCTATTGGGGTCGAATCAGTTGAATGACTCCATTCCCAACCACATATGTAATTTGAACAAAGTCTCCCTGATGGATCTGTCCCACAACAAATTCTCAGGGATTATTCCTCACTACATCAATAACATCTCTTTCGGGAAATTTGGTATAGAAAATCAACCATACATTTGGGCTGCCTTCGTTAGATGGGAAAAGCTTCGATTCTATACGTATGGGAATTTCTTAGTGACAACTAGCAACCAAATGAATCGAGATGATGGATATGATGTATTAGTTGAAGTTGAATTCGTTACAAAAGGAAAGCTCGGCTCTTACAAGGGAGACATCCTCAACTACATGTCGGGATTGGATTTGTCATGCAACAATCTAACAGGAGAAATCCCACATGAAATTGGAGATTTGGGTTCACTTCATGCGGCAAACTTGTCTCATAACCGTCTTAAGGGTTCCATTTCTAAAATTTTCTCTCGTCTTTCACAAACAGAGAGTTTAGACCTTTCCTACAACGGATTGAGTGGAGAGGTTCCACCGGAATTGCTGAATCTCTACTTTCTGGAAGTGTTCAGTGTGGCTTATAACAACTTGCTAGATAAAACTCCAGAAATGAAAGCACAATTTGGGACTTTTGACAGGAGCAGTTATGAGGGAAATCTGTATCTTTGTGGACTTCCACTGGAAAATAAATACACTTCCACTGAGGAGATGCCAAAATCATCATCCAGTTCAAAGAGAGAGGACAGTAAATGGTACAAAATAGATATAGTAGATTTTTATCCCACTTTTATTGTTTCCTACATCATGTTCTTTCTAGCAGCAATTGCTGTTTTTTATATGAATCTCTCTTGGCAAAGGTGTTCAATTTGTGGAGTTGTCATACCATAAGTGCTATATGATTCTGTACCTCTTATATGTAAGTTTGGAATACAAGTGAAAGGTCTGTAGCTGGTAATATATAGTTACAAGTCTCAAAATAAACATCTGCTTGTATGCCTCTTTGTTTCAGTTTTCCCCCCTATCAAGTCCTCCCATTTTGACATTTGCCATTTATATGATGTGTAGACAATCTTTTTGGTTCCTTGCCACTCAACATACAAGATTAACTCTAGTAATATCAGGAAATTTTCACAGTTGAGATGATTCTCAGTTCTTGAATAACTTGTTGAGGGCGGATGGGTTAGTGATCTATGCATTGTTCTGCTAAACTTTTGAAGATTCTTATCTCCTACTCTAGAATTTGCAGGTTTTGTGAACTTAAAAACCTTTTGTACTGTTGCTACATGTTTCCCCATGGTCCATGCCAATTAAGCCACCCGTAAAATCTTTGCTGACAATTATTGTTGACAATCTTTTAAGAGTTAGACCTCAATTAAAAAGCCTTTGATCGAAATTTGCTTCATTATCTCACAAATTTGAGCTCGTTAAAAGAGTTTAGAATCTTTCTATGAATCGATTCAGATGAGTTGTTTCCTTCATAATAAACCTCAAATTCCTAGAATTTATTAGCCAAAAATCTAATAAATCAAGAAAATTACATTTAGAGTGTGTTTGATTGACATGGAAAATATCTCATAGAAAAGAAAATATTTTCCATCTTTTGTGGAAAATAAAAACCACCTCTACCCAAGGAAAATATTTTCCTTAAAAACAAGGAAAATTAGGCATATTTTCAAAAGTTGAAAAATGTTTTCTATGGAAAAAAATAGCAATCAAACACTCCAATTAGAAATTTGGGTGGAAAAGTGATATTTTCCATGGAAAATAAATGTAATCAAACACACCCTTAGAGTGTGCTTGATTGAAAACTTTTTCATGGAAAATGACCTTTTTCACTCGAATTTCAATTTTTGGAGTGTTTGATTACCATTTTTTTTCCATGAAACAACCTTTGAAAATATGCATTTGAGAAAAAAAAAATTCTTAATGGGAGGTAGGTTTTTGTTTTTCCTCAAAACAAGAAAAACATTTTCCACGCCAATCAAACAGACCCTTAACTTATGTGCCATTCATTCTAAGGAGGAGATCATTGAACTAATGAATATGAGAAAATTGGATGTTGAAATAGAAAATTTAAAATGGACCCCAAATTTGAGTTGAAAGTATTCGTTACTGTTAATTCATTGATCTGTCCAACCACCACCTACGAGGATGTTTTCCTAATTGGTTGCTTCCGGAAAAAGCAAAATTAGAAGTTTTGAACATAAGAAACACACTTTTGTTATCAAACAAACTTAGAATTTACGCTGAATGATTTATTACATTATCAATCATATTTATAGGACTGCAATCCTATATATAGAAGGAAAAGAAAAAGGAAAGATTATAAAATCGTTTTACTAGAAGAAAAAAACCTAACTAGACTAGGACGTGCTAGAGTGAAGATTTTAAATCCTGTTCTAAGATTTCTATTACAACTCTCCCGTATAAGTTGGTGCATCAACATATGCCCAACTGGATCATTATGCATGGAATGACCCACTACTTGAAAATCGTTACTTTACTCATATTGAAACTCCATGTTGTAAAAGCCACCCCCTTGCTACCAATTCTACTCATCATCTCGGTTAGATTCCTACTTGAGGAGTTACTTGAGATAAATGAGAAGAAGAGTACGGAGAGGTAACAATGGTAGCAACCTAAGCAAATTTCTTCCTCTGTTCAGCTTGCTTGTTTTCAACCACTTCGGGTAATCTTTATAGCAAAAGCTAAAGTATTAGAGACAAATCCTATAACCAAAGTAACTTGCCTCTGTAATTCAGGATGGACTAGTGTTTATGTCTCTTCCAGACATGAGAGAGGATTAGATGTTAACTCAGCGCCTCGGACTGGGGATCTATAACTACCCGTGCAAACTAATTTCTACATAGACAAGGAAACTACTTAAAGAAATGTATCATTCAAATCATTGTCTGAAGATCCCAGCAGTCAAGTTCTCTCATGCAGGTAATAAAGTAGATTCTCTCGTTTTCGCCATCTTGACTTGAAACCTCTGCATGAAATTCGGATTAGCTTTAAGTCTCTCTTTGATGTTTGAAGTTCCAGTTTCCTCCACCAATTTCCTAACTTTACCTGCCTCCTCAATCAAAGCAAATAGAATCCGGAGGCAATCCTTTCTGTTCTCGCCTCGATGTTTAAACCTGGTAGAGAACATAATATTAAAATAGAGAAAAAGGGACGAAATTTTGCTAAGCTGTGGTATCTTTGTTGTGTACCTAGAAATTTTACCCTAGATTCAAGAGCAATAAAAAGATATAGAATCTAGGGTAGAGCCCATATTACTTAGTTCAATTCAAATTTATTATTATCCAAAGTAAGAGGAAGTTCGCTGGACGAGAATCAGATGCTACATAATTTCAGAGACATTCAAGCATTATCAAGGTCACTAGTTGACGAGAAAAAGCAACACACTGTCTGTCACTGAGTTACCTCTCACTAGTTATGGTAAGTTCATCTTTTCCTGGATTGTATCGCCTTCCTGCTAATTCTTTTATGCCGGCAGAATTGATGCTTTGACAAACCAAGCTCTTTGACAGTAACAGCCAATTTTACTTTTCTATTTTTTAGGTGCCATGCATCACCACCAGGAGCAAAGACCGCGCGTGTTTGCCACCTAATAATTGGGCCCTCACCTGGTGGGTCATCAAGATCATTTTTCTTATCGGGCACAGCAGTCTCTGACTCTCATCAAACTGTTTAGGAGCCTCTGCCTCCATCAGCTTAGCACATTGCAATACCATTTGGTCTTCAAACTCTTTGAACAATGCAGTCTTCTTCAACTTCAAGTTCACCTTTTCCAATCCTATTTGCTATCTCATCGAACTTCTTTTCCACTTTCTTTTCGATCTCGTCTGAGAATTGTTAAATAATAAAAGTCAACTCATACTATAAACAGAGTCTAAAAAGTATTGGAAAAAATTACTACAATGTTTGAGAGTGGAAATATGTGCACCTAATGGTCCCATGATATTGTATCACTATGCAAATCCACAAAGTCAAATGCATTAAGCTTTATCATTTCTTTTTTATTTTTCTGAACACAAGCATTATCATTTCAAACATATTAATCTAACATGTATTTAAGATGAAATTATATGAATAATGCTCCACAATTCATGAGCTAAATCAACTGGGAGAAACCAATCTCTTCAGTCTGATTTGAAGGATATTAATAATTCAAGATGGCTTCTCAAGACCCCACTCGAAGATAGTCTAAAAAAGCTAAAAAACAGTGCTGCTATAACTGAAAGTTATATCAGACGGGAACATGGTTCTTGTTGGATGCAGCACCTACAAATGTTGGAATCACCAGTGGATAACAATTCTGGAAGTCCTTAAGAAGATAAAGGCTGATCCAGTTGTTAAAAGATTTGGGAAACAATTTAAATGCTGAAGAAAACGGAAAAGAAACCAACTTCTGCTAGGTTTCTGGATGAAGAAAATGATGTTGGAATCAACAGCCTAAACATGGAAAGCAACATGGAATAACTAAAGGGATGTGAGTCCAACTCTGATCTGATGCAGAGTCGCTGCAATATGTTACTCAAGAAGCTTTCTTACATTTGAAAAAAAACAGGAACTTGCCTTTATACAAAGGTCTTAATGATATAGAGATGTGAGTCTAACTCTGATGCAGAGTTGCTGCAATATTTTACTCAAGAAGCTTTCTTACGTTTGAAAAGGAACAGGAACTGGCATTTATACAAATGTCTTATTGATATATAAAGGCATTAACTATTTGATTTGTTGTCATGTACTTTTAAGGTCAATCCAAACCCATTTACCAGCTCCATGAGGTTGGGATGTGGGCATGGAGAGATAAGCCGAAGTCAAAATAGAAAGGAACAAAATGTAAAATTGATAATGATGCTTTACTTGATTTTTTTTCAATTTAAGGGCACTTTCTTATATCGGCTTTATAATTCCCCAATTCAATGTCAGTCAGTGGATGAGCTGGTCAAGATGCTGCATAAGTACAATATTGCAGTTGCTCTATCTAAGCCGTAATATAATGCTAATGGCTCAAAAGGTTGGCATGGAAATTCTGATACAGTTTTTTGGCCTAGGATGACAAATTAATCTGCTAATTTTATATAGGTTATAGATTTTTGTATCATTTGAACTTTCTCCAGTTGATGGACGTACACTAACTGACTTCATGCATCTTACAGGATTACAAATGTGTTCTTTAGGCGGCATTGTGAGCGAATAATCTCACTCACACTCTCGCTTTCTAGCCGACTCCTACCTCCACTAAAATTTTCTTCTTTATGTCAGTATTAATGAAATCCCATGAACTAGGGTGAATTTCAGAGCAACTTCCTTATACACAGTCTCTTTGTATTTATTAGATGGTTGATCGAGCTTTTATGCACATCCTTAGAGCTGTTATTGCTACTATTGGGAGCACAGACATTTCAATAGCCCCAACTCAAATGTGTGTGATAGTGCTTTTTTGTTTAAAAAGGTTGTGTTCCACATCATGACACATCAAAATTTAAAGTGATCTTAATCACAAGAAAATAGATTCATCCGATCAATCCAAAAACCACCAAGAGAGATGGAAAGTTTGTTTTCTAGAATTTGACTTTGAAAGCGAGAAAAGGAATAGAATTATTACCCGGTAGAAGTTTGTCCCAGTTAAGCATGTCCTCTAGTATTGCCTCACACTCCCTAGTATCCTTCAGACGCCCATGTTCGACAGCCTCTGCAATCATGTCATCCCACTTCTTGTCATCCATGTTAAAGTATGGATCACTCACCATTTTCTTCACCACAATATCCCTTGCATTGTACAAATCATCAATCTCTTCATTCGTTTCATGGCCCTCCTCAAAATATAGGTCTGTAACATTATGTCATTATGTATCGGCTGCATTTGAAGCTCTTCCATCAACTCATCATCTGTGTCATCATGCTTACCGGATATCCTCCTCTTTAGAATACTCTCAAGGATTAATGGGAGTGCATCCTCATTGGCATTCTTGAAGTGTCCTCTATCTGCACTTTTAAATCTGCAAACAAGAAACGATTAAAATCTTAATCTATATAACATAGATGAAACAGGCAGACTAGCAGTAATAATTCCATAATTACTCAGCAACCGAGTCAAGTTGTTCATCAAAAGTTTTATATCCAAACAGCATATTGTGCAATCTACTTAATCTGGTTTCGAAAAATATAACCACTAAAACCTAGTAGAGCTTGAAACGTTTAATTGACTGAACAATCATACATGAAAAAGGAATCAAATTACACAATTAACAGGTCCAATTTTCTCCAACGTTATTGATGCACGTATTCTTCCAAAATTCTTAATAAACAATCTTATTAATGTATAAAAATTGCCTTTTCTTCTTGAAAAAATGAGCTTCAAAAACTATCCAATACAACAAAATACAATGCAGTTTGTTTAGATCTCAAACGTGTATTAGAAATACCAGGAAATAATTGCATTATTTTGATACTACAAAAACTAGAATAATTTTCGACTCTGTACCTTCATTGGTTACACCTTGGACCTCGGCGGCGACTTGTTTCTTCTCTTCAGGCCTGTTGACGCTAGATTCGGATTCAGGCTTTGAATCTTGGTTCGACTCTGCTATTTCCTTGGGGCGTCATTTTCAGATGAAAAAAACCGGAATCTCGAAGAGAAGCAATTGATTACCGGTGCATTGCTGGTACTGAAATTGGTGCAGTCATTGTTAAAGATTACCGAGATAGGTTTGAGATTGTGTGAGAAATGAAGATTTCGAGTACAGAGAGAGATGATTTTTTCTAGGGTCGTAGTTTCTGGGTACGGCAATTGATAAATGGGTGATCCAATTGAAGGGTTGTTCGTGAATAATGTATTATAGAAGCGATATATGTTGAAATGTATAATTAAAAAAAATGATTTACATCTAATATTATTTTAATAAAAATGTGTGGTTAAAAATAAGTATTGTAAAAAAAATAATGTAAAAAAATAGTAGACAAACACACTCTGAGATTTACATGAAATAATCGGTATCCAAATTTTTGAACGTTTTAATTTGGATTAGGTTTCCTCGGTTTTTTTTTTCCCTAAGGAAATTAATATTCCATGATAATGATTTTATTTCGAGAAATTTATTTAATTATATGTTTTAAAATTATTAAATTAAAAATTATATTTGCTTAACTGAAATATTTCAAGGACCGAGCAAAACTGGTGGGGTATGGTTATAACTTGAATTTCCTCCATAAATTGAACCTAAGATGGCTTACAGTGAGGCAGAAATAAAAGCTTAGTTACTGGACTAGGATTGTGTATTTAATATCCAAACCTTCCATTACCAAGCAAGCAAATGGTCCAAGGAAGGAAATCAATCATTAATTCATTGATTTATGAGCGATAATTATATCAAAATGTGAGTTATTTGTTTATACCACGTAATAAAAGCATTCAAATTGAATAAAAGGATATAGATACACTTTTATGGTTGTCACAATTGTTATTGATGTATTTGGTGATTGAATGCTTTTGATCAAGGTTTATTCGGATTCACAAGAGATATGGTGGGTTGACTTAATTCTGTAGAATTGGTTTGAAGTTGAGAGAGGTAAATTAATTAATTTAGAAAAATTCGATCCATTAAACATAATTAATTGTTATCAAAATTTGGTGATTGAGATTAAGAGGATATCTTTGGTGAAATTGTGAATCTTAACAATTAAATCATTATATAAAAAATTCACTTTACAAGCATGTTAATTATTTTAACATATTCAAAATAAAAACTCACAAAAAGAAAAGAACCAAGGTTAATTAATTTTAATCAAATTGAAGTTAGGAATAATTTGGACTTTTAGGACCACTTTATTAACCTTCGCAATTCGTATACTCGTGGAATATAAAATCAACAATAACTAACTTTGGAGCCCAACCAAAAAGTTCAATAACCAAAGTGCAATGGTGTTATTTGTTGGTTCATTGGCATCATTTTTAACCTAAATATTTATTTGTTGGTTCATTGGCATCATTTTTAACCTAAATATTTATTCAAGTTTTCTCCTCTAGTTTGCTCAGCTACAAAATTACAGCAACAAAACTTTATCAAGGAAAAGTATATATTTAACAAGTAAGATGAACTCATTTCATAGTCATATAAATAGAGGTGAACAATAATGGAAACCTCATAGACAGCAGTAAAATTGAAGGGAAAAGGGAGAGAGTTAAGGAATATGTAGATCAATTAATCAAAATTTCCAGGTCAGAAATCCACCAACCTCTATATTTGATAAACATTCATTCCAGCGGACTTCATTAGTAATTAAACCACAAGTAATTATTGTACAGAAGCCCCAACTAAATTGTCTTCTGAACATTTCTACAGCTTCAAATTCGAATTTGAAGAAATCTCTGAAATTCTTGTAGCTGGAGAAGAATGAAATTGCTGTCCCATAACATATTCGCAAGAGTCCTCTCTTCAATGCACTGAAGCAGAGATTGATTGTTGACCGTATAAACCATTTGTTAGTTGCTGACGGTTTCTTCTCCGCTTTGTGACGAGCACAAAACCTTCTCCATCTCTATGCTTACTCTGATCTTTTTGTGTTTCATTGTCGTTCTTCTCTGTTACTGATTCTGTTTTTTCATCTTTCCCATAAAAAATCTTTATAATTGCACTGTCGTTTACAATTGCTTCAGCAGAATTACTTGGAAATTCGGGCTTCTTTTCAGTGACTGGAGACACACTTGGAAGATCTGAAGAATTCTGCACTGATTTCATTATGAAACTAAGCAGTATCTGTCTGGCTAACTCTGCCTTCTCTGCAACAGAACTGCTTCTCTTAGATCTTTCACCTTTGACATCAGTTGCAACTTTCTGACCAGGCTTCTCTCCAGCAGATCCTACAGGATCCGAGCAATTAGGATCCATAGAAGAATCATAGTCAATGGCAGATTTTGAACCTTCAGTAGCGGCATTCATTTGGCATGCACTTCTAGGAACAAATTCAGGTGCATGTGGATTCATTGTTTTTGGATAAAGAAATCCACTTTTTTCAGAAATGGGGATTTGGTAATTCAAAAAGGCACGTCTGTAATACATAGGTGACCTAGGACCACAAGGAACTCTGGCAGAAACTGATGGAAATCCCACAGGATCTGTAAGTGCTCCTTGGCTGGCTACTACATCATAGACACTATTGACAGCAGTACTGTTTAATGGATGAGTCAATGGGTAGGCAACTGGATTGAATGGTTGAGCAGAAGCTGAAAGTTTGCTTCCATTTGTTTCTATAGGTGTTTCCTGATTGCTTGAGCATAAAATATCTTCACCATTTGGGAAGGAGTTTTCCAACTCGGATCCACTATCGTGTACCTCACCTTCATTGTCTCCTTTTGGGTCCTCACAATCTGGTAGTGATTCGTCTACAGCAACTTTGTCCCTTCCATCTTGCTCTCCTGCCTCTCGTGGACTAATGCAGATCTGGGTATCAGTTTTTTCTTCACTTAATTCTTCTACTTTCTCCAGTAAGGGCTTTAGAACCGTACCTGGCGCAGCGACTGCAACTTCTTTGTATGATAGTGATTTAGAAGCTAAAGCTGTGAGAGTTGCAGGAACAGAGAAATTTTTAGATGCTGGCGTAGTTTTCATCATTGAATTCTTTGCAGGCAGCTTACCTGAATTTTCATCATTACTTGAATTAACATTCTTAAGTTGCCTTGGGGGAGACACTTCAGCTGAAACTGACTTAAATGTTGCTTTATGTCCCAGTGACACAGCCTCCTTTCTATAACTGTTGTCTCTATAATTTGAGTTATCAGGGTTTATCTTTAACTTGGCAAGATCCGGTCGTCTTCTGTTGAACTTTCTGCCAGCACCATTCCCTGATCGTCCTTTGGAATTAGCTTCCTGCCACCCTTTATCAGAGTTTGTTTCTTGCACAGTTTCTTCAGGATTGTAGATAGAAATTTCATAGGACTTGAAGGATACTTTGGAGGAGTTTGTGTCTGTCTTATCATCAGCTCTGTTACTCTCTATGATCGCACGGATTTCCAAACTTTCATTGCTCATGGTCATTTCAGTTCTTTCCTCGTACTGCAGTTCATGGGATTTATCAACAACGGGGAAGACCTATAGATAAATGCAAAAGGATAGTGTGAAATTGCAGCATAGAAAGTAGAATTAATTGCATATCAGACCTCGAATCCCAGCCTAGGGCTTAGCATAGGATCTGACAGACAGTACCTTAGCAGAACGTGAAATAAGTCTCTTCTAGCATCAAAATCTAACATGATTAAGTATTTGGAAACTAACTTTTGGAGAAGGATTAAAAGTCATGCAAAATGGTGCAAAAAGAGCCAGTTCATTCATCTGTGATTGATTTCACAGAGACATCAGAAATTTCAAAGTAGTATTCAGTAAAAATGATATTATGTAAATAAATAAAAAAATGTCCATATTGTGCACCTCGTGGTTGGAAAGGAAAATATTTAAAACTATCCATAAAAAGAGTTCAATTCTTTTTTGCTTTTTGTGAACTCAATACCTTTGCACGTCGTCTCTTCCGAGCATCTGCATCCTTTGACTGCTGATCGGGACTTATGTAATCAAGGAGATCTGATACACTGCGCCAGAAGGTTAAAGGGTTTTGGTTTGCCAGGTTATGTATAATGTTCAAAACCAAGCAATATGGGAATACCGTATCAATACCTCAGGTGACCTTTGCTGGCAATGGATGCATCTGGTTTTGGAGTTCCATTACGTGCCGCTTCTTGCTGCTCCAAAGCTTTTGATTCAAAATATTCAAGCCATGCAGCAGCATCCTGCAATTACATGGTATATCAGATACCCTTTTATAACATTCTTCAAACTTAATTGCCTATTGATATGCATCTATTTGTGAACCAAAGCTAGTACATTTATGTATTTGAAGATGCTCCTTCCCATAATAATGGGCATAGAAGTGTCTGACAGAAAATTATACTAGTGAGCATAAATATCTTTGATGTGAAGAAGAGTTACTAGTTAACATATCAAATGAGGTTTAAAACGTATACTTTCCTTAAGAAAACTCTATCTTCTCATTCCACCACATGGACAAGACATAGCTCAAAGCAGAAAAACCAGAGTATAAGTGTAGCCTGATGGTTATAGAAATTTACTGTAAAGCAGTAAAGGTAAACCACGAGAGAGAATTTTGTAATTACCTGAGTACGAAGATCCTCTGCTCCCAGTTTATCTTGCAGAATTTGTAATGTAGTTTGTTCATGTTGCACACTGAGGGAATATGCTTCCATTAATGAAAGAGCTATGGCTATTGCATGATAGCTAGCAGCAGTCTGTGGGATAGAGCAACTAAATTATTACAGTATGTTCTAGGAATATTCAATAACCACAAGCATATTTTCATACACATTTAAAAAGTTAATTCCTTGCCATGAATTGCTTCTGTATTCAAGACAACAGTAAATATGGTGTGCGTATTTTGAGATAGAGAGAGGATGGGGAATAACTTGTATGTGATCTGCTCCCAATAATCTCTGGTTGCACTTCAGAGCTTCATGCAGATATCTAAGTGCAACATGAACATTTCCCATGCCCTCTTCCATCATAGCCACATTAATGTATGTAGCAGCGGTGTTCGGATGAGAGAGACCACATGTAAAATTAAGAAGATAGAGAGCACGGTTGACATATCTGCCCAAATTAATAAATGAAAGATTAAGAAAGAGAAAAAAAAAATAGTCATAAGGAATGAATATGTAGCAAAACCAGAAATAGATGAAAGAAAGCAATTTAACGAAATTGAAACTAAATCTAAAATTGGAAGAGAAATCTAAACTAAAAGAGGCAGAATAAAGTGAATGACAAAATTCCCCTCAAAAATCTAATGGCCCGTTTGATTCTCATTTTTATCAAAATGCATTTTTCTCTCTCTTCTTTTTAACCACACATTCTTCATTAAAATAATATTACACGTAAATCAAAAACTTTTCCTTATTTTTCATCCACACATTCTCCATCAATATACTATTCTAAAATTCATTTTTCCATAAAAATGGGTGTCAAACACCCTATAAATGTCCTTTTGACTTTTGAACATCATAATATTTTTTGAAATCTTCAAGATCAAGGAAAACAGTGATAGAGAACAAAGCATACTGGCAAAATCAATGTCAACAATGATATTTTAATTAAGGGATCCTATTTAACTTACTTAAGTGCTAATTCAATGTGTTGCAGGCGATAGTAGAAAACTGATAGATCTCCATAGCTTTTCATGGTGTCTGGATGGTCAAGCCCCAGCTCCCTCTCGTTGATATCTAATGCCTTTTGCTGATATATAGTAGCCTAAACAAGAAAGCAAAGGACAATTCAGACACACCGAACTTTCCTAGTCTCACATTTGTGCAAGTCATGTACAGATGAAGTCCGGATCTCACAATGTTATCTCTCCTTTATATGTTCATATAGTTAAAACAGGAATGTAATCGGTATATTTATTCATATATTTCTTTATATTTTAGGGGGGTGGAGGCAGGGTGGGGCCTGGGGGAGTAAAATTTGATAGAAGTATATAAACCTAAAGCTGACAAACTTATGTCATACCTGATTAAAATCTCCAGTATGGTATAGAACAACAGCTAGAAGACTATAAGCACTTGCAGTTGTACGATGATAAGGACCACAAACAGCCATCAGCTTTGCCAGAGCCTTCATTTTCAAGTCATATATGAAATTCAACGTTGCCCAAATAGGAACACTATAAACCTTGCTTATTTATGATGGAAGATTTTGGTACCTTTGTCCCATAGTTAACGGCATCTTCTAGCTTCCCCTTGTCCAGTGCAATCTTGGATGACTCCAGTAAAGTTCGTCCATCAGCAGAAGAGCACCCTACATGCTGTATATTATAAAATAAAAGACAGAAACCATCACTTAGTGGATTGTTCGTATAAAACACTAATTTAGTGCAAATCTTTGTGTGTATTAAAATGCTAGTAAGTGAGACGAAGTGATGAGGACGTCTACTTTTTATTTATTTTTAGTTGGACTTTATTTATGTTTTAAGATTCTTATTTATGCAATTGGGCTTGTATTTGCCCAAGTCCGTTCTAGGTAGGGTTTTGTTTTGACTATTTAAACCTAATTTGCCATGTAATTTCATTAGTTTTGGGAATGAATATGAATTATTGAGATTGATTGTGGCGTCTTCTTCCTCTCCCTTCCCCTTTTCCCCTGAATTTTTGCTTCTTCTCCCCCCCCCCCCCCCCCCCCCAATTCTCTCTGGTTTCTCCCTCCCTTCTTACTTCTTCTTTCTATTCTTTTATTTGTCTTGTGTTAACTAATGATAGAGAGGTTCATCACTTCCTTGTTCATTGGGTTGATTGACCAGATTGTGACTGTACATGGATCTTGAGAGAGACACAACAGTAATTGAATTAAAATTTATTGGAGCTTTATCAGAACCAAAAGGATCTTCCTTGGCTTAGATCACCCAGGAGGAGTTGGTGAGAACACCAGATTTAGATCTCCACTGACACATTTCTACATACGCCAGAAGAAGCTTGCCCAACCACTCAACTTATGGTTGGGAGATTGACTGCAATCTATATTGATATATCCACTCGACAGGGTCAAGTTTTTTTTTCTCCCACCCCGAGAGAATTGATGAGGACATCAAGTCTTTTTATTTATTTCATTTTGAACCTTATTTCATTTTGGTAGACTTTATTTTGTTGTGAATTTTTATTGGGCTTATATTAGCCCAAACCCATTCTAGTTAGAGTTTTGGTTTACTATCTTAACTTACTTTTCCATGTAATTTCTTGTTGACTGAATAATTTTTTTTGGTGGCTTGTGGCAACTTTCTCTCTTCTTTCTATCTGTCTTCTACTGATTCTTCTGTTTATTCTTCTTCTAACCCCGTTCTTCCCCACAATTCACTCTTCCCCATAGATTTGTTATCACTTTCAATTAAATGTTCCAGTTGGTCCTGCATCACGAAGAGGGAGTAAACTTACCTTACACATCGGCACTATGCTAATAATATCAGATTTCTTGAATGGTGTAGAGCTTTCCATATCATAATCTTTAGAAACCAACTCCAATCCAACCTAAAAGGGAAGAAAGTTTTATATTTTGTTTCAATTTAACTTGGACTCAATAATGCAATTGTTTCAGAAAATACCTTGTGACAAATTCCCCTGAGAATTGACAACTTTCTCAAATGTTGGAATTCATCTTTCAATTTCCAACCAAATCTGTTCTCCAAAAATGCTCGCATCCATTTAAATTTGAGAATTTGATCACTTTGGTCATTATCTTTGATATTCCATGACCCAAGCAAGAAATTTAAGGTTGAGGCTATTGCAGCTGACATGTTATCAATGCTCTCAACGGAAGCAATAACAGCTCTAAGAATGTGCTTAAAAGCTCGAGTAATCATCTCATGAATACAAAGAGACTGTATGTGAGGAAGTTTCTCTGCAAGTTCCACCTGGTTCATGCGATTTCATTAAATCCAACTTAAAGAAGAAAATTGTAGGGGGGTAAGGGTGGGCTGGAGAGAATGCATAAAATTATTCGCTCACCACGCGGCCCAAGGAACGCATTTGTAATCCTCTAAGATGCATGAAGTCAGTAAGCGTACGTCCATCAACTGGAGAAAGTTCGAGTGATGCAAAGTCTGTCACCTATAAAAACGTATTTGATTAAGTCAACGTCCTTGGCCAAAAACAATATTAGCACTTCCAAGGCAACTTCTTTGAGTCTCTATCGAAATGTTACCAGCTTAGGCAGAGCAACTTCATTATAGTAATCCTGCAACATCCTAACCAGCTCATCCACAGGCTGCACAATGAAGCAGAGAGTTATTAGGACAAGTGTTATGGAATCCTTAACTTAAAAAAAGAGAAAATAAATAAAAGTACTAGCAGGATTCAGTTCAAATAGATAACTTGTTGTCATGCTATTTTCATCTTAAAAGAAATAGCATGACAACAAGTTATATAATTAATGCCAGAATATATAATATAAGACCTTTGTATGAAGTCCAATTCCAGTTTCTTTCAAACGTAAGAAAGCTTCTTGAGGAACATATTTCAGCAACTCTGCTTCGGAGTTAGACTCGCAGTTCTTTAGTTCAGCTGGCTTGCTTTCCATGTTTAGGTTGCTGACTCCAACATCATTTTCTTTATCCTTCCCAGTAGCAGAAGTCAGTTTCTTTTCCCTCTTCTTCAGCATTTTAAATTGTTTCCCCAGTCCTTTAACAGCTGGTTCAGCCTTGTTATCATCATTACGACCTCCAGAATTGTTATCTGCAGGTGATTCCAGCTTTTGCAGGTGCTGCACCCAACAAGAACCAAGTTCCCATCTGATACAACCTTCAGCCACTGTGGCACTGTTTTCTAGCTTTCTTAGACTATCCTCTAATAGTTTCTGGACCAGACATCTTGAAGTTTCAATGTCCCTTAAATCAGACTGAAGAGATTGGTCTCCCCCAGATAGCTTAGCATATGGCTCATGGAGCATTAATCTTAAGCTGTAAAACATCCCAAATGATTTTAATGCATGAAAAATCAACCAACAGATTGATATTAAGCATTTTCCAAGATCACAAGGAATTCCAAGCATACAGTTGGTGTATCATAGCTTCATTATGCTATTGAGTTGTCGTAAAATTATGACATATGGTAAAGGATGTAACTTCAGTTCTTCAGAAATGATTTGTGAATATCAAATTATGTCAAAAGACATTACAGGACAGAGCTAAGCAGGGAGGAAGCTATTTTCTACAAAGAGAACCAACATAGTACAATGGTAACTTTCAAAACTTGCTCAAAGTGACATGGATGAATATAACATACATTCTAATCCCAATTATGTATTTCCACTTATTTAACTTTTTTCCATCAATTAAAAAATTAGTATTTATTATTGCAAATGTCTTCCATTTCCTTTACAAGTGATATGGGTAAGTAAAGCAAAAAATCCTTCATGATGACTCCGTATCTCGAGTAGTACAAACAACTGAAACTTCGAAACTATTGAATTCTACAAACGTAATATGAGACACTTTATTTACATAAGAGAAAATGAAGTAATAAACCTGTTAATGTTGAGTGCATTGGCCCCTCCATCTGGTTGGTCCTCGATTTCAACATCTTGTGCAAGGCTCTTTCCCCTTTTAACATCTCCAACAACCTTCACTATTGCAGTGTACCCCCCATGTCTAACAACAACACAACTTAAGGAAGAAGTATCCTGCAAAAAAAAGGATGGAACGTTGTTTCTAGTCTCCAGATAAGAAAGGAATTCAGGCAAGAAAAGAGAGAATGAATAAATGAATATTTTGACAGAATTTATTCGGATTTATATAGCAGGGGAAATAGAAATACCATCATTGGAGTTCCTAGCCCAATATTTTTAGATTTAATCAGTCGACAGCCTATGTTCAAAGAGAATCTCTAAAACAAAGGGTGCTCTTAATGGATATCACAAAACATAAAAGATTATGTTTGTAAATATTTTGCAAAATTACTAAAAATTAACTAAGTGATGTGCAATCTTGGTATTTGGTAAGGATGTTTGTGATGTGATTGAAAAAGAAAACTAAGAATGAAGAGATGAGAAAGTATATAATAATAAATCCAGAAAACTTATTCGCAAAGAAACTCAGTAGTAAGAGCAGTGTAGTTGGAGGTAAATGTTACTTACATGTACAATAACACTTTCATCGGCAGTTATTCCTTTAAGTAGATTTCTCTGAGTAACCTCCTTGACAGATTCGTTAACGCTTTTACTGCCAATAATTTTAACTTCCAGTTTCAAGCTTGCATCTATAGCATCTCTTACCACTGTAATAGAGAGGTCTCCAATCCGATCCTCATGCACAATTGACCCTGGGGAAGAATTTAATTTACCCATTGCCGAGGAATTTATCACCTTCTGTATGGCTGAAACAGCTTTAAACACCGAGACATCGACAAAAAGATTATGAAGTAAAAAGGCCTTTCTATCTCGAACCACCCTCTCTTCTTCCATCGTGCAAGATAGGCTAGCTAGTATTGCAAAGTCTGTTGCCCATGGCCTAAGATCATGCTCTCCATTTCTTCCCTGGCCCCCACCATTGCCACCCCAACTCTCATCCTCTGAGGGCATGGAAACAAAATCTGATGCTGAATCCGCAACAGATGGAGGGACGAGCCAGGTATTGGATCGGAAACCGTATGGAAGGTTACCAAACTGAAAAGAACAACATGGAAAGAATTTGCTCATTTCTATTTCCAGTATTACCAAAACTTGAAAAGAATTTTCTTTAGTTAAACAAATGTCACCTTATTGTGTTCAACAAAAGCTTTCATTAAAGATGCATATGCCTGCACAAAAACATTGTATTAATTGTCCCGAATCAAGTAAGTGTTGAATAAGAGCACAAAAATGCTTCAATTATTTGACCAATGTGCTGATGCCTTTACCATTTCCTAGCAACTTTACATATGTATTCCCAAGGTGACACAATTTGTTCAGAATTTATTACTATCTAAATCAGTATATAGTTAAGTGACTTCATTATGCCTATCCAGATCAAGGATAACATCATGGTACCATAGCAAATGATGAACATATTTTTTCTGTTATATAGTTTGGACCTCCCTAGGAAACAAATGCAAACCATATTAAGTTCATTTAGTTTTTCTAGCAACAGCTGAGTATTAATTAATGTATGAAATTAAAGGATAATATGAAAAGCAAAAAATATGAGGATCTAGTAGAGGAATGAGTAATTATATCACGAACTCACATTAGCGAAAGCTTGGCTTTGCCGTTGAAGAAGATCCACCAAGGAATGGCTTTGTAAAAATTGCTTTCCCAAAGTGTAGAACCCTTTCTTTGATGCCATCACTTGTATTGTCTTCCCATTGCATAGCTTTATCTACACAAATCACAATAGCGCATTTTAGAAAATCCAGTACAACTTATTGTGAGAATTTTTGTTTAAGCTTAAAAGTTAACTTATAAGTTAACAAATAAATGACTTATTTTGTTATTAAAAGATGAAGAATGAGTAGATCACCTTATAATCAAAATAAGGATTTCTTAGAATCAACTGAGGAAAAATAATATTAGAATTTTGAAAAAGACCTGCATTTGGAAATAATCACCCTCCCGCATTTCTCCGTCTTTGGTTTCTGTTTTTTTCAAATCTGCAGTACGAATTGCAAATAATCAAAAACTAAAATACGACATACAATATTTTGAAAATTGATATGAGAGCGGGAAAATGATCTTACGCAAAATCGGCGAAGAGATGTGAGAGAAAGAGAAGAATTCGTAGAAATCGGAGAGTTTGGGAATCGGATGAATCGCCACCATGTCATAACTCTCCGAAATCGGTGGCGGGAAGTTCTCCGGCGACCGTGCTTCTCCATCGGGAATTGGTCCCGCGGCTTTTCTCTGTCCAGTTTTATTCTTCTTCTGAGGCGAATCGGCTCCAGCGAAGGCAGATGCGGAGGCGGAGGCGCGTCCGCCTTTTGGCTTGGCGAAGCGTGTCGTGCACGCGACGATGTCGAGGAGCCTCCTCACGTGCGCAACAGCCTGGGACTCAGTGTAGTCCTCTGTAACACCAGTGGCATTTGAGTAAATAGTAAGAAATATTATGTTTAAACAACTGTTTGAACTTTACGGCACGTTTTTTCTGTTCCGTGCCATTATTTGACCCAGGAAAAAATAATAATACTAATAATAATAATAATATATATTCTCAAAAAATAAAAAAAGAATTATTTTAACGAGATTTTGAAAGATGGCAAGCTAAAACATGTTTTAAAAAAAAGTATATTTAAAATCAATAACATATATATATATTGAGCCGTCCCTACGGAAAAATAATACTTTCATAATTAAGTTTCACATACTAACATTTTTTTATTTTTATTTTGTTTTGTTACATACTCGAGCGTTATTTCCTTAAAAAGAGTGAGAGAAAGTACAGTTGAAAATGAAAATCCACTTAGTTTATACATAACTAAGATGCGATTATGACCACAACCCGTCAGGTTTGTACTTTTCACGTGATACTCGTGAAACTTTTTGTATCAATTCGACAAGTATGGTCAATGCCTCGTTAATAATATTTTAAAGGCATACTTTTGTAGTGTTAAACCACATGGGCCCACTGTGGAAAAGAGACAAAAGAGGAATCTATGGAGCATCTATTGCACCTTTGATGTCTGTTTAATTTGAATTGAATTTTGATTTTTCATATAAACTTTCGTTTGAATCTCGTTACATTTTATTTTTCTCTCTCATATTTTCAATAATATAATTTTTTATAAAATAATATTACACGTAAATCGAAAATTTTTCCTTCTTTTTCAACCACTCATTTTTAAAAAAAAAATTATTTCACTTATTTTTATTTCTACAAAATGAGAGCCAAAAGAGGACTAAATTAAATTCAAACAATCAATATTAACAACATTTTTTAAAATTTTTTATCACAATCTACTAAAAATTTTAATTTTGATCTCCACCAAATAGCCTCTTATGCTAATATTTCTTGCTTGATTGACTAATGTTAAATAATATATTTACAAATAATTTTATCTAAATAAAATAAATAACCTCTTAGATATAAGAAAATTAAATAAAATTCAGTTAAAAATAAATTTAACCGTCTCTCACCTACTCCAATAATTACCAGGTTGAGCTCCTTGCTCGATACTTTTTCACCAACCAATCTAATAATTCTATTATACCCATGTGATTTTTTACTTTCGTCCAATGGCGTAGACAGAGACGACTACTCTAAGCCCCCGTTTGGCCCCCATTTTCTGAAAATGAAAATGGGGGGAATAGTTTTTTTTTTAAAAAATGAGTGGTTGAAAAAGAATGAAAAGTTTTCGATTTATGTGTAATATTATTTTATGGAAGATTGTGTACTTGAAAATAAGAGAGAGAGAAATATAATGTAATGTAATTAAATTTAATAGGGCCAAACGGGGACTAAGATTGTTCTGAAAATAATGAATATAATATTTTTATAGACATTCCCAATTATGTATATTGCATTAAAAATCTCACATTGGACAGCTGCTTTTAGACACCCAAATACTTTCTCAAGACGGCATTAATATTTAATTAATTAATAATCAATAGTCCCCCACGCAGCTCACGAGGGGTTGTACCTCGTACGCATAATTGGGTGGGATAATTAACCTACCTTCAACCATTCTCAGCAAGCACGGCTTTAGACTAACAACCTCCAACTTGTCATTTAATTTATGTCCTCGAGCCTGCATAGTAATGACCCATCTGGTAAGTTGAACGGAACAATATTAAAAGAAGAGCTAAAATCCTTTTTAGGCCACGTTTGAGAGCAATTTTGAGAGTTAATTTTTTGACTGTTAGGAGAAAAGTGGGGGCACCTGTGAGAGAAGAAGTCAAACGTTACGGCTGGAACAGCAAAATAACGGTCAAAAAATCAATTTTTGGGGGTAAAAAATCACTCACAAACACCCTCTTAGTGAGGTGCCGACTCACGACTCACAAATATTCTGTGCCGAAATTGGTTTAATTACGACTAAACAAAAAAACATAAACACCTGTACTGGTTTTTGTGTGAGTGCTTTGTGTCCTCTAACCTGTCGTAATTGCTCGTTTGGTAACTCAAATTGGAAACTATTCAAAGAAATAGCTAAAGTCTTGTTTAGTGAGGTCAAGACTCATAATTCATGAGTACTGAGTACCAAAAAAGATTAAATTGCAATGTAAAAAATAAATAAAAATCACGCAATGATGTGGGATTGTGTGTGAGTGCTGACCTCGTGAGAGAGAGAATAGTTTGTCAGATGGCATGTTTCGACATTAACAGCTACCAGCTTCCGCACATCCAGTATTTTATCAGTCGAAATGCCCTTAATCAAGCAACAAAATTAGATTCAAATAACACATAAACTTAGAACCTCTCGAGCACCCGGCCGACGGTAAAAGAAACTAAAATCTTGCTCATCGATACCTTGAGAATCACTTGAGTTTCATATGGTGTGATGACAGATATATCAAGAACAAAAGGTACTACTGCAGAACAAGAACAAAATTGACAAAAATGAATCAATAAAAAAGGAGAAACAGGAATATTAAGTATCTTGAATTTTTGTGTCATTTTCTTGCCTTTTTCTTCCTTTTTCTTCTTCTCTGTCTTGGCTTTATTTCCCTTTCCTCTGCCTGTTCTTGGGGCCATTAATTTTCACTTTTCTCTACTGTTTATTGATAAATCTAATTGGGATTTGGAGTTGAATGCTAAAGGGAAAACAGAAGAAAAACTTTGGTAAGAAGTTGTTGTTGAAAGGGTTAATTAATAGGCATGCAAATGAGAGAAATAGAAAAGAGGATAGAAAGTGATGAGGGAAATCTGTATCTGTATTGAAAGAAGATAGGATAAGGGGTTTTTGGGTTCAACTTCTTGAGGATTTGTTAATAAATTCTGGCCTCTCCTTCTTGCTTTTGTTGATTATTTTCCCACCCCACCCCTCTATTTTCTCTCTTAACGGGCTAATTTCATTTGGACCACTGTATTATAATTTATTTTCAATTTAGACCACATCATTCAATTTGATCAAATTGTCAAATGTTAACATTGACATTGACATTGTTATTACTTAAATCCACGAGTCTAATATATTAAACAAGTTTTTCAATTATATCACTTCATCTATCAATTTATTATGACGACGTGGGATGGCCGTTAGTAAGTAATAGCCTTAGTGTTTAGTTTTACCCAATTTGACAAGATTGAACCAAATGACTTAAATTGATACGAAATTCAAGCAGAGTGAGTAAAATTAATTAACAACTACTCTACATGGTCGTCAAAAAATTGTCTAAAATAAGTTATACAATTGAAAAGCTTATGATTTGGATTATTTTCAATCCACAAGACTAACATGCAAAGCGAGTTTTTCAAATGAATCATTGTCTAGATCACTTTATTACGGTCACGTAGGATGGTCGTAAGTTGGTAATAGCCAGTTCACATTATACAACATGACAGAATTGAACGAAGCAGTTTAAATTGAAACGTAATCAAAATATAATAACTCAATTGACATAAATTTAAAGTACAATAACCAAGAATGCAATTAACAATATAAACACACTCCCACGCAGGGTGACACCAAATTTCTCTCTCTGCACAATGTACATGTAATGTTCATTTTTTTAAGAGGTTGTATAGCCCATGCTTTGGGGACACAGACAAAATTGGTGAAATGACGCTAGCTTCATGCCACGTGGCGTTTGATTATGGATGGCTTTTTTATTTTTATTTTTATTTTTGTTTCCAGCCGAGCATCTTGTTTTTTCAAGTGTTGGCATCTTTGTTTCTTCAACCACTTGTAGGTGATTTTGAGACTTTAATTTTGGCATTTCTTAATTGAAATATTGGAATACACTGAATCTAATTAACTGTTAATTACTCGGTCCAAATTCTGAAATTGTCTTATTTACCTTACTAGGTAGTATTTGTTTTAAACCATTATTATCTATGTGTACGTGAACGAGTAAAAATAATAATAATAATAGAGAGACAATTTTTGGATTTTCAGAAAATCGTCTATTCAGTGGAGATTTTGACATGAATTTCTACTCGAAATTAAAATAAGAAAATGCAGGTATAGAACAATTTGAAGGGAAGGAAGACCTGCAGTTACAGCTTTAAAAAAACAGAAAAATAAAAATAAAAATAAAAACACTAATGACTTGGTAGACCACATCTCGCTATACTTTAAAAGTAAAATCTTATACCAATCTATAACAATAAAACCAATACTGAGGGCCTGTTCTCTTTTATGCTTTCTAGTCGTTTTCTATTTTCGATTTTTCAAAACAATGAGAATGTGTTCTCTTACCTATTTTCGAAAATGAGTTTTACAAAACCAAAAAATAAAAAAATAAAAATTGTTCTAAAAACTCAAAACGTCTAAAAAGCTGTTTTGAGTGTTTTGCAGCCAAAAATGGAAAATGGATGAAAACACGAGAAAGAGGCCCAAATTAAAAACAACTCTCTTTCTTTTTACTGACTGTTTGCTCGGATTGAAGAATCAGAAAAGCTCCATCTGAATCTCCTATCCTCTTCCTCGATTTCCAGCTTAATACAATCTTCAAATCTAGGTATGTCTTTCTTGCTTTCCAAGTGGTTTTCCGAGCATGTTTTCTTGTTTTGCCCTTCCTTTTTCCTTCAATTTACAGTTCTGTTACCCTTTCCCAATTTGTTGTTTGATAGGCACTAATCAGTAAGCAATCTCCCTGTTCTTGTTGTAATCTTTTTTTTTTCCTTCTTCTTTTTCGGTTAGATGCATAAATTTGGAAATTGAATTTTTTTAGTTATTTCTCCATTTTTTTTAAGCTGTTGTTTTTAATTGCAGACAACAGAAAAAAATTGTAATTGATTGTCTTGATGGGTGTTGAGTGATTTACACTCATTATATTATGTCATTAATTTTATGATTTTGCTATCTTGGAGAGTATTTTAGAAGTGCTAACAAGTGATTTTGGTGTTGTTTTGTGGATTGATGGAAGTCGAGAAAACAAGAGCTAAAAGAGGTCAAAGGAAGGAAATAAGCAAAAGCTAGCGAAATTGGATGAAATGACCAAAACGTGAGAGACCCAAATTTCGATGATTAAAATGCAATTAATCAAAAGTCTTGTCGGAATTTGAAATGAAGATCCGAGAGTTCTAGAAGCCAATTGGATGTGTCAAAGGGATCAAATTTAGTCAAGATATCATCATAAATCATTTTCCAACCAAAAAATTTTGCGCTGGAATTTTGGTCTCACATTTAGACTCATTTTTTATATAGAAAACGATCAAATTGGAGAATAATTCTTGAAACAAAATTGTAGTCCTTTGAATTAGCTTTTCAACGCATCTTGAATCACTTCAATCAGATATCGAACGAGAAAGTTATGTTGAAAATACTGAAAGACGTGCAGAATGTCGTTTCGGGCATCCCGGGCACTGCGGCGCCCATCGTGAGCGCTGGGGCACCCATCTTGCTGAAACAAGCAGAAAGTCAGGGCCCAGGCGCTGCATTTCGAAACAAAAGGAAATTCTGATTTTATAATATTTTCTCGGCCCAATTAGTAACCTGTTGTTCCCTAAATTTCAAGACACTATAAATACACAATTGAAGACCTAAATTAGAGGGGAGCCGAACACTAAAAATCCGTGGGATCAAGCCACGCGTTCTTGACATATTGGAGAGAA